ATAGTTAAGCTATGGACTATAACATAGTGTTTATTAGGAGGCAACCAAAGTTTTAATTTAGTTTTTGCATACTTAGGATTAGTTTTAATTTTAGTTTTCATTAACATTAAGTGTTGTTTTGTTTACTTTTGCTTTATACATAAGGAGAACTTAAAAGAACTTGAAAACGTTAAAAGAAAAGAAGCTAGGATTTTAGTTTTTAGAGTTCTTCAAAGTATTTTTTTTTTATATATATATATATACATTGAGGACAATGTGCCACTTAAATAGGGGAAAGAGAAAATTTGTGCCAAACTTTTAAATTTGAAAATTTTTAAAAAGTTTTTAAATTTTTTGGAAATTCTTTTGCTTTTGTGCTTAAAGATTTTATTAGAGCCATGCTTCCTTTGGTTTTTTTTTTTTTTTCTTATAATTCAATGATAGGAATTTAATTGATTATGATTATAGCTTATGGAAAAGAATGAATGTAGTGAAGCATGACACGATTTCTTGAATCTGTTTCCTTTTTATTATGACATTTCCAAAATTTTGAGCACAAGTTTTGATCATTGATTTGCATGTATGCTTAGTTAAAGCTTATGTAGATATGAAATTGCAATAATCTTTAAAATTGTGATCTTATTTTAGAATTTGTTTGATTATCTCTTACAGTGAAATCCTAGGCTATACTTAATTAGAGAGATAATTTAAGCCATCTTTAGATCATTTGAGCCTTTCAAGCTAAGCTTTAATCTATTTATCCATAGTCACCCCATTTGAGTTTTATATTCCTTTCTTTTGTTTTTAACATATATGATTTAGCCTAGCCATTTGAATTACTATAATTATCTTTTTTACCTTACCTTTTGGCATGTAGATTATTCAAAGTTAAATATGAGAGCTAAGTACATTAGGAAGAAGGAGCTTGAAAAGAAAAAGAAAAGTTTGAAAATAGTTTGGAAAAGAGAAATTCAAAATAGAAAATCGATATAAAAAATTTTGATTGCAAATCTATTTTACATTGCAATTATGTTAGAATGAAAGAAAATGGAAGAAAGAAATATTCAAGTTTAAGGTATTACAATTCTCTTGAAAGCTCTCAAAATAAAAAAAAAATGATTGAAAAGCACTGCATTTTTAGGGATTAAGAGCCTAAATTTTTATTTATCTTATCTTATCTTATCCTAGCTTTATATTAAAAGCTTTTGCATAATAGTTTAAGTTTAATTTGCATGTTCTTAAATTTAATAAGTTTAATTTGTGTTCAGAAAAATTTAAATAGGTAATTTTTAATTTTGCACGTTTAATTGAGTTAGTTGCTGCATTAGTTTATCCATTTAGTTCGGTGTTTAAATTTAATTCCAGCTATCAAATTGTTCTCTAAGTTACAGTTTAGCTTAAATTTGATTTGTTCCATCTTTAATTAATTGTTTTTTTTTTTTTTGCTTATAGTAGTTAGTTGTAGTTTTACTTTAAATTGTATGTTTAGTTGCCATTTTAAGGAGTTTGCATAATTAGTTATTTTAGTTTAAGGTGAAGTTAGTTGTGATTAGTTGTTGTTAGTTTAATTATTTTAGTTGCATATCAAATTTTGATCTTCTGAATACAATTGAATTGTAAAAGGTTTAAAAGTTACATCCGTAAGTGCAAGGGTTAAAAATTGATGAGCATTATAAATACCCTTCTTATAGCTATAGTTGAAGATGCCAGTCACATTGTGCAATTGAGAATTGCAAACTTGTGTGCCAAAAGAAGATTTTCGCAAAATTAAGGTTAACCCATAAAGTTTTCCTGACTTTTTTTTCCACTAAAAGAAAAGTGTTTTTCTTTCATCTCGCTGATACCTTAGGGCTTTTGACCACAAGTGGGATTGGTTTCTTGTTGATTTTTGAAATAAAACACTTGCTAACACAGCATTAGAATCCCACCTTGTGAAGGTTTTAGTAAAAGGTGCTATGCAGATCAGCATTGGAAGCCAAACAATTGAGTGGCTTAAGTCTTAACCTTTTGAAGTTTCACAACCACACAAAGGTTGTTTCCAATCAAGATTATGATATCTTAAGTTCTGGTGTGATTCTACGAATGTCTGATTTAAAGTTTTAAATTACAAGCATGAACACAAATATGATCATATGGTCTATTAGATTATTACTTGTTTATTTATTCTACAGTGTAGTTCTTTGATACATATTATGTATGCTATAGTTAATTGTTAACTATATGATGTCGAATAATTACTAACATTTTTTTCATCTTTAGCATGCATTTGATTTTTTTTATAATGGAATGGTTCATCCTTTTAGCTACACCATTATGTTGTAGTGTTCTAGGTTCTATCTTCTCATACCATATCTCATGCTTTTAACACTAATCTTTGAATTCTTTAGATGTGTATCTTTAGCATTATTAGTGTAAAAACATTTCAAAGGTAATCTTGTTATGTTTTCTACCATGACATGAAATTTCTTAAAATACTGTAAGTACAGGCTTTTATTTTTCAACAAATAAACCGAAGTTTGCATTAAGCATAATCAATAAAAGGAACAAAATATCTGTTATCTCCCCATTACTTTATTTTTATGAGACCATATACATTAGAATGAGTTAATTTTAATATATTTTCTTACATTAGAATGAGTTAATTTTAATATATTTTCTTTCTTCTTAGTTCTAGTGAAAAGAAATTGTATGATGCTTTCTAAGTAAACATAATTACACTACTTTAATGACATACCTTTCATTAAGGAAATGAAGGATTGCCTTGCCAAAGTTAGTAACTTTTTCTCACTCATGTGTGGCAACCTCTTATGGCACAATCTGCTAAAGTGTCACCTTTAACTACATTTATTTGATACCTACACAGTTTCATCTAGGTCTTGTATATAGTGCAACCTAATTTTCCTTTTGCAACTATCAAAGACCCCTTAAGTAGTAGCTTTCACTACTCATTTTTTTACTAACTTTCATATCTTTCTCTATTAAGGATATCTATCACAAGCAAGTTCAATCTTAGATCTAGAATTTGTTTTGTTTCATATCCTATGATTGGTGATATACTCTTATTTCCCATGACCAAAGCCTTTTGCTTTTTAGCTTCTGAATAACTCCTTCCTAGGAACACAATGGAATGTTGCATTGATTCGACTATCCATTAAATACCTTGATCATCAATATAGTTGCACTTTCTTTTTTAACAGAAATGAAACTAATTCATCATTAGAATGTACTAGCGAAAAGTTGTTACCATTTGAATTATCTTCATTCCCCTTTGCTCTTGCTTTAAGTATCGACAATTTCGCTAGATATGATCAAGTTTGCCACAATGATAACATTTTATTTTATTTATAAACTTAAATTGATTTCTAGATTTGCTGTGTCCTATATTATCTTTTCCTCTATTTTTGGTTTTACCCTTATTCTTTGCGACAATGTTTTAATTCCCAAAGTTCATGTCTTTTCATCTTATGTCATTAAACATACTATTATTTTCCTCTCCAAGGTCACTTTGTTGTTAGAAGCTAAACTAAGAGCAATCATAACCAACGTATCCAAGTTGTCTAGCAATGGCCCATAAGAAAACAATGGCTTCATTTCATCATCCATATTGAGTTCATTGTAGTCATCCGATTAAACAGATCTTAAAAATTACTCAAGTGCATGACAATAGATCATCCCCTTACTATTGTAGAATAGAAAACTTTTTAACAAACATAACTTTTTTCAACACGATTTTCATCTCATACATATAATGCCGATAACTTTTCCCATACAATTTGGGCTTCTATTCTTGCATTACATGATGAAATACAATGATACCCACTCATTTTCTAATTGTAACCAATTTCTTTCTGTCTAATTTTTTTCGGTCAACATTTGACATTTTCTCTACCTTTGCATGATTAGCCAATATTGTTTCATACAAATCAATGTAGCATAAGTGATCTTTAATCTTAAGCATCCAAATTAAATAATTTGAAGCTGCCACCTCCACCATAGAACCTGCATCACCTTTTATGTTTTCTACCAGCAACCAAAAAATATATATATATACAGTGTGCTACAGTACCTCATTGCTACTATTCACAGTATTTGCCATAATGCGAAATTGCTACATTGCGCAATAAAACTATGTGTATGACTGCTGCGGTACCAACGTCTGGGGATTAGAGGTGTAATCGAGTCTAATCGAGCCGATATAGTGAGAAGCTCGAGCTCGACTCCCAACTCGCGACTCGATACTCTGTTCGAACTTGATTGAGTTTCATATTTTCTAGCTCGAACTCGATTCGTGATCAAAATCGAGCTACTCAAGCTCGCTCGATTAAGCTCGATTAATATATAAAAATAAACTCGATTCTTATACTCGACAAGAGCTCGATTATTTGTGCACGAACTCGAATTTAAGATATTTTATTAATTAAAATAATAAAAAATATGTAAATATAAAAGCTCGATTAGACTCGCGAACTACTTGAGCCGAGTATAAGAATACTCGAACTCGAGTAACTCGATTCATCGATCGAGTCAAACTCGAGTAACTTGCGAATACTAATGTATCATTTACACTCCTATTGGGGATGCTATAAAGCCATTGACTCAAGATATTACAATAGCTATGGTAACAATTTGTGGACCTTGAAAAAAAATATTAGTGGAATAACACTACTAAAAAAATGCCTTCACCGATGAAATTTTTTTATTTGCAAAAGTCAATTTTTCGTCGAAAATATTATAATCAACGAATTTATCATTGAAAATTTTGTCGATATTAGATAAGTTGATAATGCTAATAATTACCGAAAGAATTATTAACAACAAATTTTACCAACGATAAAATTTATCGATAATCCGTCAATAAATTCTATTAGTAATCCATCAATATTATATTTATAATCCCTTAGTAATCTTACTTTTCAATTATATTTAATATATTTTATTTATAATGTCATTTTATTTTTTTAATTTACTTTTAAAGTAATTACATGAATACTGAATATAAATAAATAAACAAAATATTCCATTTTATTTACAAAAGAATGTAAAATATTTTACAAAATTGTTTATGAATTCTATTAAATGAAAATACAAAAAATACATACAAGGCAACTAAAGTGGAACTGCATAATGAGCAAAATGAAACATTTGAGGTATAGTGGTGTACCCATATCCCATTCCGGTCTCTTCTAGATTTTGTCTAAAGTTACCATCAAATAATCCAATGGTTGGAAAATTTTGTACTCCAAAGAACCCAGTTGATTCCAATTGCTTTAGAAAGTAATCCATTGGGTGAAGAGGATCAGTTCCACTCACTCCAGCAATAACTGGTACCGCCTTCACCACCTATGAATATTTGGAGCTATGTGTCAGAAAGAAATTGTAGAAATGGTGACACTGAAATGAGCAGGAAATAAGTTGACAGTCATTTGCCTTTTACTACTGAAGAAATAAAATTTGAAACAAATGTTAAAGAGCACTTAAAAAGGAAAAGATTTAACTAGTGTAGATGGCAATTGACGACATAAACAAGCATTTTAAAACTTACTGGCAGTACTTCATCTGCCATCTCAAGGACTATTGCATTTGCATCAGCAAAGGACAATAGGCCAGCCAAAGAACCCCTTTATGCCATACGAAAGCGTCCTGAATTGTACAAAACTATCATATCAACTCCACCAGCCTCCTCAAATTTTGCAAATAATTTAGTCCTTGTACCAGCTCCGATTATGGGCAGTACTTTAGATATTTGATCTCTGAGTTGCTGTAATATTCCCTAGCTTCTTTGTAAAGTTTCTGTCACAAAATTGCTACAAGTTAGCTTTCTTCCAGATTGAAACAAAGAAACATATATAATCTAGCTACTGAATAAAAAAGCAGATCAAGTTGTTTATAATTAACATATTTGCAAAATTGTAATTTTGGAATTGATAAAATATTAGATAATGCAGATTTTGAAATGGCACTATGGTAGTCTGTTCTCTGTTATGAACTTGACTGGAGTTTTTATGAAGGCCATGCAGATACTGGAAAGATATCAGAAAAAAAGAGGACTACCTTCTGTGATGATATTCATATGATATTTCCAGTAAATTAACCCCATTTAACAAAATCTTTCCCATTAACCTCTCAATTAAGTTTGCTATTATTGTCTGCAACAGATTGGAAATTTAGATTCATTTACTAGTACAGATTGGAGAAATGACATCAACTGTTTAAATACTCTTAACAGACAGAATGGAAAAAAGTAAAGAAGGAAAGGGATGATAATGTTACTTTTCCACCACCATTTGGTCCGACAAGGGCAACTTTTGAACCAGGTTTCAATTTTAATGTTATTCCCTGCAATTCAAATGGTGTCATAAGATTAAATCATGAAGTTAGAAAATTGCGAAATCATGACTTACCTTAGTGATTTTGATGCAAAAATTAAACTACCGAAAAGCAAATTCTTACCATAGTCAATTCCTCAAAGATAGAGTTAAATAAAATGCCATTCTTCTTCTCTACAATAACATCAAAACGAGAACTGTCACAATACATCACACCTCCAACTACATAATCGGCAAACTCTGTAGTTGTAATGTCCAAAACTCCCTGATTAACACAAAAAGGAAAAAGCTGAAATTGAAGAATTGAATAATAAATAACAAGAAAACTATCATAGAGGAGAACACAAAGTTAAAAACCTTCAAAAGTTATGAAATTCAATATCTTGCTGTAACACAGCTTGACTAAGCATAAGCATCCAGCTTCAATGCTAACATGGGGTGTCAAACTATGACAACTTCCAAAAGTTACATCATTTTACAGTCAAGGTTTTGGACATTTCTCATTAAATTGAAACATAAATATTTTTACCACTGTCAAGGCTCCATTTTGCTCATACCAAAGCCGTCGAAATAAAAAACCAAAGTTGTAAACTGATAACAACAAAAAGTTTCTTACAAAAAGACATACCACCCAAAAAAAATGCATAAACTTCATTCACCATGAGTAAAAGAATTAACATTTCAATGAAGATTTTTGGAAGCAAATACATGATGGAGATAGATACCTGTATATAGGCCTCTCTAACCAATGATTCCATAGCCTTGCCTTCTGTCCCAGTGGCATGGAAAATGCAGGTTTCATAACCTTTCTTCTGCAATCTTTCTTTCACAACATTAACATATAATTAAAAGACAGCAACTATCCATGGTGAAAATAAATGCAATAAAAATAGAAATAATTAGATTCAAGAAATATGGAGCATCATAGTTGATGTCTCAACATAATGACATCCAAATACTATCCTTATCTAGCTAAAACAACCTTGGAAAGCAAAGGAAAAGAAACAAATACCACAAACAATAAAATCTAGAAATCATTTACTAATAATATGGGATTCTTACATATATATAATGTGTTTTTTCTCTTTCCAATTAAAATAAAATAATATAATTTGATTAATTCAATTTTAGATAATTCGATTCGAAATTAATTGAACTAATGAATGAACACTTCTAACTCTAACCCAAGCACTTGATTTGTTTGAAGATTATGAACCAAACAATATATATATATATATATATATATATATCCTAATGGCGTTAGTCCATGCATTGCAATATCATAGAAATTTATAGCATTGAAATATTGCAAAAGACAATAAACCCAAACCGGCAGACCCTTTTTCCATCCTCTTAAAAATTTTTTCTATATGGATGAAGTGTTTGACAAGAGTATTACCATACAAGGCAAAACCTAGCAAATCTTTTCAATGATTAAACAAGCTATGAAATTATGAAACCCCAAAAGCAGAAAATAATCCAAGAAAAACAGAGGTTACAAGTACTAACCATGTAAATTCATATTACATTTGGTAATCACTTACCAGCAAACTTAAGCCGAAGGCTTTTTTATATACAAAATTTTGGTGTTTTGACGTTTGAAGAATCAAATCGTACATCCATAGAAAAGAAAGAAGAAACAGAGCATAGCCACTAAAGCTAAGGATTACAAAACTGTGACCAAAGTCCAAAACCGTGACCTGGGTCTGTTGCCTTGCGAATGGAAATTTCAAACAGAGCTATGTTGGTTCGCGCGACGAGCTTTTGTGCTTCAATTTGTCGTGTTTGGATCGACAACATGCGGGTGTGAAGTGAAACAAAGAAAGAGGCGGGATTTTTAGAAATTTAGGGTTTTTGTCGGGAGGAAGAAAGAAAAGGGGCTTTTGCTTTTTCGTCTGTGTTAAATAGTTTTCTAGTAGTGCAGCCGACCGGTAAGGGCGCACGGTGGGGAGAGGGGACGACGACGGGGAGATTGGGAGGGGTAGAATGGGAAGGGGAAGAGGGGTTAGGGATTTGGGGGTTTATTTTGGGGTAAATTGGGTTTGTCGGAGTGGGAAGTCGAAATTTTTTTTTGTACCGATGGATTTCTGTACAAAATTTTTATTAGTGACGTGTAACCTTTTTTATTATAAATTTTTTATTGATAAAATTAAATTTGTTCATAAAATTTTTTTTTTTTAACTTTTCGTTGATATTATGTGGATAATTTATCGATAATTATTATTGTCAGTAAAATTTTATCAACATAAACTGTAATTTTGATAGTGTAAAGAGAAAATACTGACAAATTTAAAAATTTTAGTTTAGTTAATAACAATTACAAAAAAAATTTAACCATGCAATAAAGAAGGTAGATAGAAAAATAAAGAACATCAAATTTACGTGGAAATCTTTCTAAAGTAGAGGAAAAATCACGAGGGAAAAATCGAATAAAATCCACTATAAAAAATAGGTAAACTACAATAGTATAATATTTACAATAATTAAAATAATATAATTAAGTTACCTCTTTGGAAATATACCTCCAAATTTCTCTGGGATTGACAGAGTATTTATATTTTTTTGTGATCAAAATATCCTAACAAATACCCAAAAAAAATTGTTAAATACTCATTTACTCTCTTACTTTCTATATAGAGCTCTTACTCTATTTTTTTTCCTCAATGCTTGGTGCATATGCACCCTTAAACTTTATATGGCCTATTTTAATGCGTAACAAAACCGCATTAAAAAAATATTTTTCTTCTTTCTTTTGGTGCACGCGCACCTTTCTTTTCTTGCTGCACTTTTCCTTGTCACATTTGGTACCTTTTGCAAAACGTCGTAAGGCAAGGCTTTATATGTCCACCAATACAAAAAAAATAGCTCTTTTCATTTGTCATATGGATTCTGGTTCATTGTGAAGACAAACAAAGTTTTCTGAATTATGTAACTAATAATTTATTGTTCCCTTCCAATTTGAAAGTTTTTCTTTTAAGTTCTTATTTTACTCTATCGTACCCTAAACCCTACCTTACCCCACTAGCTACAAGACATACCTTGGCAGGGGAGAGGATTACCCTCAAACTTGGATAATCATGCCGTTGAGCCAGAAGTACGTTGTCTCCACTTTGTAAGTTTTAGTTGTGAATAGCAAACTGCTTTCACTAGTGAATGAAGAACAACCTTGATATAATAAAGATAGTTTAAAGTATTTTTAAACCATGAATTTAAATTGTTTTCTTCTATATACCATTTTTTGCTAAAAAAAAAATTAAGAGAAGAGGAATAATAGAAAAAAATTTTGATTTTGAGATATGAAGAATATTTTCTTAAAGGCAATTATACCTGAAATATTTATTTATAATAAATGAATAGACATAAACTTTTATTCAAATGGTTATAACCTTCTGTATAATCATGACTTTTATAATAATAATCTATTTATATTCAAATAGTAATGATCATTTGTCATATGATAATTATTTTTGTTCAAACATAATTATTTAAAATATAAAAAAAATTAATACAAAAATTAATTTTATTTATCAATAATTAAATCTTTCTATCCAATGTGAAATGCATCACATTCTAAACTATCAACAATCTCGTACTAGTTTGAAATGTTGGTGCTTAATTTTTACCTTTCACACAAATAAATATTATGAATACAAGAAAAGATCTCTCGATTTAAACCTTCAATTAGCGTATATATCCTAGAATTCTAATGAAGTTGATATTGTCTACAGATTAACCCTCAACTCCTAGTATTAGAATTGAAGATATAACACACATAATACTTATTTATTCTTCTGTTAGAGGTTTATAACCACTTTTAATACTATTATGGCATGTGCTTATCCTATTCATAAACATTTATAAGAGAGATCCTAATTCTTCTTGTTGAAGTGACACCACTTCTATGTTTATATAGGTAGAATTTTCATTATATCTCCATTGCTTTAGATATTTAAAACTCCATTAAGAGTATAAAAACTCATCCTCCTCATGCAATGGATCACACTAGTTTCTAAATTTTGAATGGATTTTACTAGTGTTTAATAGACACATAACAATAATTTGTTTTTACCCATTAAACTTTGTAATTAGAGGTTACCAATTCAAAGTTAGGTTCCCATTATTGGTGTCTAATAGTAAGAGTTTAAATCCATTCTACTTGTAGTACTACTAACCAAATATTTTGAAATTCAATTTTTTTTTATGGTAATTACCCTACTTGAGATTGAATCTCCAATATAATCACTTTAGGCTAATATATCCAAACTTTTTATTTTGCATATCATTTATATGCTTCAGATATTGTTGCCTCATTCTTATCATTTTAACAAATAGTTGGTTTTGGTTGTGGCCATAACTCTTTATTTATTAATTTTAATCATTCTATTTCCATACTTTTATACATTTTAATACAATTATACTTCTAATACAATTAGATAAACTCAATGAATAAACCAAATGATTTTGGTCCTTTTAAGATTTTTAAGGACCTTTTTATGACTTTACTATAATAAGTGTTTAAACTTATTAATTAGCTTGTATAATTTGCTCATAAAATTATACTAAAATCTTACAACACTATGGTGATAATTTTTATTTCTTTTGATTCTTATCACCCTCACCACGTGCAAGTATGCATTCTTTTATTAAAGAATATCTCATTCAATTATCAAGATATCATATATACTTAATCAAGTTGCCATTTCATTTGTCTTTTCACTATTTGGTGGCTTTTTTTTTTTTTTAAGTAAGAGGCCTCTACATCCACCCTTAATGAAAGATAATTAGCTGATATCTTAATATTTCAATAAAAGTTTCAAAACTTTTATATTTTAACTTAATATAAGAGTTTACAACAATAAGCAGATTTCGAATATAATTATGTTTCTATAGTTTCCTTTTAAGACTTTTATATCAATTCATAAATATTTATATGAATCTATTTTATCATGGACACTATTAATAATGTTTTATTATCATGAACAAAACCATGTTCATCACCCAAATGGATCAAATAGCATTTTTTTTGTTATTATAAAAGTTTTCAAATTCACAAGATCTTTGAATCACTCATGGCTTCTAAAGTAAATATACTTTGAAACTTTTACTATATAAACCATAGATGATAAATCATTTGTACAATCCATGAATTAAGCCATATACATAATAAAAAATTACCACAACATGATCAAGATTGCGGTATTAATTTTGCTTATGGCTATCTAAGCCAACCATAATAATCCACTTCATACCTATAAATCATGTAAATTTGGCTAATAAAATTATCTCATTTATAATTATGGCTTTTAATGAAAACCAACTATCTCAAATGTTATCATGAGTTTTCAATGCATATAGTAATTGCTCAATGGCCAATTCCAAGTTTATGATTATTGAAATCTCAAAACTTGATTTTAAAATTTTATGAGAATTTTATTTCTCCACCATTGTATAGCCTATATATCTCTATTATTTACCACTTTTAATTGGTCAAAACATTTTCGGATATATAATAAATTCAAACTTTACTCATAGGACCAACATACCTATATACAATAAGAGTTTATAATATATTAAACTCCAATTTCAAATACTTTCACAATCATTATGTGACCAATATGTTCATATCTAGATCACCATATCAATCCAAGTCATGAAATATGAATCCAAAGAATTATTTTCATAAAATAGAATAAACAATAATTATAATATGAGTTCTACTCATATTTCATGCAAAAATTCATGATGAATTTGCATTGGTTAAATCATTGATTGGCTAACTCTAAGGGTTACAGCTTTCACAAACTAATATTTATTATCAAGCCCATATGTCAACATGGTATATAACCAGCCACATCTTGCCATTGTCATGAAACTATTGAAAACCTCGAAAACTTGTTCACTTTTCATTTTAATAGCTTGCAAAAAGCCATTTTTTTAGGTACAAGAAGCAAAAATACATTCATTGTCTTTAACTAATAATGTATTAATTGAATGATGGCATTCTATCTCCATAGTTCATGTCTTTCTTATATGTATAAGAAAGAAAATTTCATCCCATTTAGTTCACTTTCGTAATATATGGCAAATTTCATCCTATTTAGTTCACTTTCGTAATTAAACACATGCATGTATTGGTACCTTTGGAACATTGAATTTGCATGTTCTTTTCTAGTTTATAAACATGCCTAATTAGACATTGATGAGCATCCTTCAAAATGCTAGTAAATGACAAATGCTTCAATATTTTTTTTAATGGCATGTCTTTTCGTTTAATCAATATCCCATATATGGAAAGAAATAATACTTTTTTGTAACCATTGATTAACTCTTTGACAGCTTTTATGATTTTCACTTTGTGATTGTTCACAATAAAATTTTATTTTGTAAAATCACTTCTATTGTAATACACCCAATAGGCAAAATATATGTCATACTACCCATGTTTCTAATAATAATCATTAGTTGGTTTATTATCCACCAATTAATCTATGAAACACCATATCTTAATAATAATTATTCACGTATATCAATTTAATTTTAATTAGTTTTCATGAAAATTGAACACTGGTCAAAATTTGAATCAATAATAAATTAAAAAATATATATATGAACCCTTGATTTATAAATGACCAACAAAGATAGAACTATACAAATAGTTTGACTCAACTTATTATCTTAATTTTGGTGCCATGATTTAAAAATAAAATAAATCTTGCAGCCAAATCTTATTTTCTACATATATTCTCCACTTACATCTAATTTTTTTATGGTAAATTTGTTTACCCATTTCTAATTGTTTTTCATAGAAACCATAGGACAATTTGCCTATTCTATATATAACAAAGACATGACAATTAAACAATCAGCCATTCCATTATGACCCAATTTAATTTGTTACTTGATAACAAGTGATAATTCTTTTTATTGTAGATCAATTCATGTCTTTTTCTTTTATGCTTTCAGGCTATTTTTCATCTCAGTCTTTAAAAGTATCGACTTTTTAAATAAATATAATACAATTCAT